AGGTATGGCTTTTGGAACACTACTGTATCCGAGTTATCTGCAGCAAAATGAATCTTGGACAGAGGTGTTTTAGGGTGGCAAAAAAGACTAGAGTTCCCTAGCTTTCCACTTTGTTGCAGTTGATTTGCCTTTGGCATGTACTTCTTTTCCTCTTCTGGTGAATCTTTAACGTCTTGTTCGTGTTGGTTTTTGGAACTATTTACCAGTTCTGTGTCAGCTGCAGAACTGATCATGGTGGCTGTGGAAGACATTAGGTCATGTAAAACTGCAGAAGGGTGTGGATTACCTGCAGTGTGAGGAACATGAGATAATGGGTTGCTTGTGTAACATGGCAGAGCATCTCCTTCTTTGCCCAACTTCAGCATGTCAAGGCAACATTCTGCATCTTGAGATAAGTCGATTTTGGCTTCTCTGGGTTCTCTCAGTCCTGTAGTATCCACCTTGGCTTCTTGGCCGGCTGTCAACCTGGGGTTTACCACGACTGTTCCAACTTCCTTGCTATTTGTTTTGTGGATGATAGCGTCGGGCAGGGCTGCATCCCTTTCCTTTGGATTATCAAAGCGGGAACCAAGCCACCTGCTGCTGAGCTGCTGGGTTTCCTTCTCCTCTGAGAGTCTAGTCAGATTCAAGAAAGGCGTGGTGGGACTGAGGTACTGTGAAATAGCCTGGACACACTTCTCCACCACCTGGCTCATCTGGAGTACACTGGCTGCAGTCAAGTAGCTCACGAGTTCTCTCTGAGGGACCTGCATACCAGCAATGGATGAAGCAACAATGAATATTAAAGAAACAGCACCAACCGTAAGAAAAAGAGGACTTATTATACTTCTTTGTGAGCTTCTGTGAGTCATGCAGAGCTACTATAATAGAATGTAAGAATAAAAATATGGATTGAAAAATTTGTACAATAGGTTCCCCTTTAAAATAATATTCCTCTTGTTCATTTTAAATATGGATCTATTATAAAACTATATCTAGAACCTTTCATTATAGTACAGAAATGAATGATTATACAGTAAAACAAACACCTCAGCTCAAAAGACTTTTGATATATGGCCATATTCAGCTCTGTGATTACAGAAACACTAGATCTTGCACCTCTAGGAACCCTGTGTAGCAGGACAGGAGTAGTGTCTTGGCAACCTTCACGTTGGAAACAACAGCCACACTCAGCTCTGATCGGCCTTTGTGAAGCAGGAACTGATCACGCAGGAAGTCTGAGGATGCTGCAAGCACCACTCTGTGACCTTGGAACTGGAGAGGATGGACAGTAGAGTCCTGTGGCCTGCCCAAGATGAGCGTGATGTCACAAAAGCGATGTTCTTCTCTAAGATCATTCA